GTGACCTTCTGATAATTTCCCTAGAAGTTATTTCAGATGATTCAGGCAAGTATAACCTACCTTTTTTGGTAGAAAGAGGATTAAGTCACTTAGTTTTACAAGACAAAAATTCCTGCCAACACAAAAGAATTAAAAAAAAAAAAAGCTTCATAAGAGGTGTTTTAGCTGACAAGAACTGTAAACAGCCTTGTCAGAATCACATTCGTATAGGCCTGTGCCTCACACAGTTACCTGAAACTGGGGAGAAAGGAAAATCTAACATACTGCAGCACCAAGAAGTGACTGCATCAAATCCATGAACATCAGATAAATTGCTCGTGACACATCCTTTGCAAAGTAGATTGTAGGGCCTAGAAAGATATCTGCCCAGTGAAACAGGGAAATGGATAAGAAAAAAAGAAACAGAATTCGAAGTCAATGCAAAGATGAAATTTGGGTTTTTCTGGTGGGCCGCAAGCTAACACTGGTGCGCAGAATTGTTTCAACATAAGAATTGCCATTGCACTCAAGTTCTCACGAACGCTGTGTGATTTCCCAGTCTCCAGCTACTTTAACGGCAGCAAATCAACAGTTCCTCTCTCAGACTGCTCTAGAGGATTCTTTTTTCCCCCACCAGCCCAGGCAGAGCTAAACTAGAGTTTCGGCTTCAGCAAGGATAGTTTGTCACAGTCCCAGCTTTAAGGGTAATGACATGGCACATAAAAAAAAAAACAACTGTCCAAGCAAGCCTGTTAATGGGGAGATGATTTTTTGCTGATATGAGGTAAAGCCCTAAACAGTCCATGCTAATCCAAATTTTCAATTTATGCCGTTATGTCTCCGAAGCAACCCAGGTGGTGTTAATAACAGAAGAGTCTCCTGACATTAAAACAATCATAAACATTGCTATTAACTACTACTCATTAACAGAAGAAGCATATAAAGGTCTAACACGGTAGAGAACAAATGTCTGTAACAATGCCTGGAACTGGACCACCAGTTCAGTGATCACAGCTACACAAGGTCTAACAAGGTAGAGAACAAATGTCTGTAACAAGGACTGGAACTGAACTGCCAGTTTAGTGATCACAGGTAATACACAAAATAAGTTATTTAAACTCTCAAATTTTTATCGTTACTCAAGTTTCAATTCACCAACAGAATACTCAGATTTTTATAACAGGAAAGAGGCAAAAAGGGTAGTTTAACAGCTTAAAAACACATCACTTTAATAGCATAAACAGATAAACTTCACTAAAAAGGTTATTAGTTCCCACTTATTCGTATTCAAGATTTTCCTAGTATGTTTCTGAAAATGGTGGTATGGAAATCAAACAGTTTATTCTGGAATGTAATCCCAAATGTTCTAATGTGTTATTATCATTATTTCCATACTGCTATTTGCTGTAGAGAAATGATGGATTTCACATTATTGTAAGCAAAAAAAATGAAATCACAAAGAAAGAGAGGGGCATACACTGCAGGGGAAGGGGGCAAGGGGAGAGTTGCTTACTGAGTTTACTTCTCTGAAGCCATTAAAGGCTTGATCGTAGGAGCAGACTATAAAGATTATAAGTTTATGACTCTCTCCATGAGACAGCCACAACTTCTGCCTCAAGAGATTTCCACAGAACGGCTTCTCGTAACGCTCTCCTTATCTAGCGGGCCGGAGCAGCACATTGGAAGCGCGACAGACGTCATGGCGACCGCAGAGCGCGGATGAACACGCACACAGGCCTTTCCAGAAGGCCCGAGTCACTTCATGCGCTTTACAGTAAAAGTGAAAAGGATATGAAAATAATTCATTGACATAGGTCATGTGGAAGGTGCTTCCCTCTCTCAGCTGTACAGGATTAACAACTCTATGCTTATTAAAACACTTAATAGTATTTATGTTACTACAGTGCCTAGAGGCCCCAATTGAGACTGAAGGCCCTCCCGAGTGGAGTATTAGAAAATCATTATCACATTGACTCATAAAAAGAGAATTTCCTTTTAAGTATATATATATTTTTAAACATATGCTTTGTTTAAGCCAAATTACTACCTCTGTAAGGCAGTACTTAAATGCAGGTTTTGCTGTTTGGCTTGTATTCATTTTGGCTGTTAAACAGAAGGACAAGCTTACTGCATATATTTACATAAATGACAAAATTTATCTGCTCGGACAAGCATTTTCATCCTCACCTGGCATTAAACCCAAAGCAACAGAAAATCAGCTTTTCTCCAAAAGCATTGTAAGCTTACCATGCTTAAATACATCTGGAATACACTAAATCTAGCTCTATGATCACGAGATATCCTGACATGACTTGCTGGTCACCTATCTTGCTACCACATATCTTCACAAGCATTAAAGTTCCTATACAGATACTGAGGATACTCCTAGGTGCCTGAGCAAGTCGTCCTTTTACATTTCCAGGGTGCATTTGTTCCTAACACAAGCAGCAGGAGCAACACCCTCCAAGTGCATCAGACCTCCTGTGCCTGCAATGAACAGCTGTACTGGTCTGAAAGAAAGACAACCCATCTTCAAGGCACTGCAGAACAAGCCAAGAAAGCAACAATTGAGCAAAGTCATTTGTTTAAAGTGATGAACTACCAGAGCGTTTTCTTTTTCAGAAAAACTGTTGCGTTCTTCAGAAACATTCTGAGTGGATACGAGCAAAATTATAAAGACGAGAAAAAGCTGTCAGAAAGTTAGAGGTGTACCCATTCCTTGGATGAGGAATTTAGCTATGGGTACGATAAATTGGAAAGTGCTGGAAGTTTTTAATTATCCTTTGAATACAGTGATCCAAAGGACTAGCTAAGCAAAAAGCCACATGTACACATTTAAAAAAATGTGTATGTTAATAGAATCATATGTAAACCAAGCAGCAAGTGTTACTCCTGCAGGATAAAGAGGAGATCACATCAAAAGTGAACAATGTGAAATATTAGAATCTACCATTATTCTAATAAGAACCCAAACTGTAAACCAGACCTATTTTCTCCCTGGGAGCAAACTGTAACTTCTGGAAAGGAGATAGTCATAAGCAAGAGTAGTTTATGACAATAAAAGCTGTAATGGGATTTCTGAAAACTCAAGATACTAGAAATACAGCAGAGTTGATGTATTAGCCATCTGCTTTTCCCCACATAGGCACACAATCAATCAGTAAATCCAGATGAGTATCCAAAATTACTAGTAAACCATAGGTTGCAGAGGACTTTTCAGTGTCTACTCATAATGAACTTCAAAACAATGCAAGTCAAAACCTATTTGGATTACTTCCCCATCTCTTTTAATATCTTCAGCCATCATATAGTCACAGTTCTTTGTCCTTCAACCATGTCTCTTCCCTTAACTATCTACAGGTGAGATCTTACACTGTCCCTGCTGCATCTCTCTGAAACACAAAGGCCATAGACTTCTGCCATTCCTTTCTGGACAGTGTGTGGGTACACATGCACTCACACACATTCACATATCTGTGTTATATAGAAACATATCTATGTGTCTGTATATGAACACTGCACAAGTATGTGTGTTCACCAGCACCTGCATAAGAATTCTTTCTGTCTAGAATCCTTTGTCTTCGTCCTTCACAGAAAGAAACCCCAATCTGAAACCTAGTGTTAGTAATACATCTGTGGGAATTTTGATTCTGTAATTGCAAAGTAATCTGGGCTGAATTACCAGGCTCTAAACTTTCTCGCTAAGATCAAACTACTGAATGTTAAAAATCACATCAAATGGACAGAAATTGCATAAATTTCTTAAAAGTTAATTAAAACAGGTGTTTCAATAATATGTGTTTCTAAATAAACAACTGTAGGTGTAAACCTTAGAATAATCTCCTTTCTTTTTCATTTTATTTTCTAACGACATTTCCATATTTTTTCCAAACTTCAAAAGCTGTGCTGCATATTTACCTTTTTTGTTTTTCACTAACTGGCCCACTGGGATCATTTGCTCTACCTTACATTTAAGACTTGCTTGATGAAAGCTATCACAACTCTTTAGAGTTTTTCAAAAACAAAACAAACAAAAAATCTATTTTAAAAACATTAAGCACCTATTAGTACCAAATGGAAAACACTTACTCCCCTCACAGATTTCTAGTCTGCATAAAGCAGAGTATAGGTAAAGCTACTTAATCAGATGTTGCATTTTCATGTGCTCTGAGATTTACGATCCAGTAAGTTTTCAACAGCACAGGGTATGTTGACATTGCAGTTCACAGGCATAACTGCAGATGCTGAGCCCGCTGAGGACCTGAAGTCATCTACCTGCCCATAACGCTCTCACTGTGCTCCACGAGGTGCCAGTCCCAGGCAGCCAGCACCCACCACGTTGCTCACGCAGCGTGTCCGGACAGAACAGTCCTAAACTGGACTGTAAAAACACTAGCTCAACTTTCGTGTAGTTTGCTTCTCGTTTTAGTGACAGATATTTAGCACAACTAATACTGCCATAATTCCCTTACGTTCGATCCCTGTCTCCTCTCCAAGTTTTCTGCTTTATCACTTTTACAGAAAAAAAAAAAGTCTGTTGCACTACTTGAGCAATTTAAACAGTTCCTTAAATTAATTTCAATAGTTTAATATTAGAGTCGAATAATCTATTCCAACAAATCATCTCTGCAATACCTTTGCTTTTATATACTTAATAAAAAATAGATCTTCAGTCAGATTCCGTATTTTTATGTCTCAGGAAAGGGCTTACCAGACTGCAAAGTTTCACTTACTCTTTTAAGGAAGAAACTACTTATGGAAATAACAGAGACCAAAGTGCAGCCTCATGCATGAAATTCAGAAAATCTAAAGCACAAGTACAGCAATTGTAGAATTGTAGAATTATCAGTACATGCCTTAACATAAATGAATATTTTATACAAGAAAGAAAAACACTCTGAATTTTCCTTCTATAAACTACCTTGTTTATTACACACCCTAGAGTTTTTTGTTAGGATCTACAGCTTAATTTCCTACTGTAAAGTAATCTGAAAATGTAAGAATTTTAAGAAGCTACTTACTGTAAATTTGCTACTTTAACTGATACAGGAATGTGAGGAAGTTGAGCGGCCCATTTCAGTGTCACGTCTTGATAAACATGCAACATGTTACTATGGTTTCCAACAAGGGTGTTTATTGTTCCTTCTGTAACTGTTAAAGACATAAAAGCAGCTTTAAGATGAAAGATACTTTCATAAGTCAATATTTTTCTTTGAGGCTTGTATTACTATGATGTTAATTTTTCTTTTCCCTATAAGCTGTTAATTGGCGTACGAAAATACATCTTTCTCTATAAATATATACCTACACACACTTTTTTACTTAGAGAATTTTAAAATGTCGAAGTGAAGATAATCACACTGACAATAGCCACAGAGATAAGTGATTAACTATGAATACAAATTCCAATTACATACAGCATGTCACACATTACCACTTTTCCACATACCACAGGGTTCTAGCCACCCATGTTAGGTAATTTAAAACATGACTAAAAAAGATTCTATTGTATGAAAAAAGACTAACTGAGCTGGGCCTGTTTAGCCCAAAAAAATAGAAGACTGAGAGGAGATCTTACCAATATGTATAACTCCCCGAGAAGAGAATGGGGCCAAACTCTTCTTGGTGTGTCCAGGGACAGCACAAGGGGTAATGGGTACAAACTGAAACACGGGAAGTTCCATCTCCATGGGAGGAAGAACTTCCTGACTGTGAGGGTGACAGAGCCCTGGCACAGGCTGCCCAGAGAGGTTGTGGAGTCTCCTTCTCTGGAGATCTTCCACACCCGTCTGGATGCCACCCTGTGCCACGTGCTCTAGGTGTCCCTGCTGGAGCAGGGGGGTTGGACTAGATGATCTCCAGAGGTCCCTGCTAACCTCAAACATTCTGTGATTCTGTGATCATAATTATGATGTTAACATGCAAAGATAAACATGAGAAAAATACACATTGGTTAAGTAACATACACAGTTATACTGCTCATTAATTCACTGAACTGTGAACAGTGACAAAAGCGCTATTTATGTTTTAGTTATAATGTATTTAAGTCAGAATCACTGAATTTTCTATCAACAGCATATTAAGAATATATTTATTCATGGGAAAAAAAGCATCTTAGCTGTAAAAACGACTAAAACAAAGCTTTTTAGTTCAATTTTCATTTTACAAACCTGAACAATAAGGAAGGAAACAACTTGGGCTGCAATCAAGCTTTTTCATGAATCGGATTTGCCCATTATCCTTAAGGCAAAAGAAGTTTCTCTCACCGAGCACAAAAACAGAGGAAACCGCCTGATTAAAGGACACTACACATATATCCAGTGCTTGCTCTCCGATGTTTAAAACCCAATCCACCTTCAAAAGAAAAAGCACACTCTAGAGACCAGCTGACATTTGCATATTAAATAAAACACAAAGAAGGTTCAAAATTCAATTTATAAAAACAAAAATAAAGGTCTTTTTGGAAAAAACATTCTAGCTACCCACTTACTTATTTTGAAGGCAGTTGTGATTTTCCTCATTGTGAGGAAAACAGTAAAACCACCAAAAGGCTTTATGAAATGGTCATGAATTAATGACTATACCCCAATTAATCGATGTGTTAAAGTATACATCAAAATACACATTCCATTCAACATAAAAATGGTTTATACTCTGAATATGAAATGCCTAATTACAAAATCATTTAAATCTGCATCTGCACTTGTCCTTTGATACCAAAGGCAGCCAGTAAGCAGAACTTATTCTACCAATATATTTCACTCTACCCATGTATCTAATGGGAAAAGATAGATTGGATTTCAGGTGCACAAGCCAACCTTCATGTTTGCATTCACTAATGTACATTTTCAGTAGGAAGAATAGTTGCATGTATGCAACATTTTTAGGTGCAGATTTTCCTAGTAATGAACAAAGGATTCTCTAAGAGCAATGAAGTTTATTTTGTAAATCCAATACACAGTCACAAATAGACTGCCAAACTCAAAACGAGCAATGTCAGATATAACTATTATACCAGAGTTCACAATCTGCAATACAAAGACTAGCGTAGATATAGCCAATTTCAGAACATAACCTTCTTTTTTCATAGAACAGCAGGGAATTTTAAGGCCCAGCCTTAAGCAATTTGAGCCCAAAGAAATCCTAACAAAAATCTACTGGAGTCCTTCCATTACCTTTAATGGAAGTTGGATCAGATCCTTTGTCAGCAGACAATTTTTCCATTTGTTACTTAGCATTCAATCTTTTTAATATGCATGCAATGTACCGTACAGGTTATGTAAAATAAACAGGTTTTACCACGAGTCTTTTTCCAGAACCAAGTTTTTGCTGTTCTGTTTCTTGTCTTTCATCAGCATCCGTTGCAAATGCCAGCACTTGGTATCTGTTATAGAAAATTAAAAAGGAAAGAAAGCAAATATCTTTCTAATTAATACCTTTTACAAAAATCAATATATATATATATAATAATCAAACTACATGTATGCATGTATTAACAGCAAAGATTTTTAAATGAGTATCACTAAAATAAGAGTTAAATGGAAAAGAGTATTTAAAACATTTCATTTTATCTGATGCTTAACAAAAAAGGCAATATTTAAATATATTAACGAATACAGACTAACAATGAGACTGAGTCAGGATATCAAGAAATTTTCAAAATAAGAAATTAGGACAATGACAAAAAATTAATGTCACTTTGTATAAAAAATGAAATTTATAAGCTACCCCAAGATATAATCTTCTATTTATAGCAGTTACAATCTCAAATATGCCCATTAAGCAAACTAAACAGTTCTAATGCAAGAGATAGCTGTAAATTGGCACTGGCAGGTCGTACATCTGTCTCACATATCCTTGGAAAATAAACAAAAGTTGCTGTGTTTTTCTTTGCAACTGCCAGCCTGGTGTACTAACTAAAAGTTGGCAGTGACGCTACTAGAGCAAAAGATGTTATCTGTAACTTTTATTTATTGCACTGATGTTATAACTTACTGAACTAACTTGTTTCCAGTGAAGTTACATTAGGGGGTAATATGCAAAGTATCAAAATCTCTCTTTAAAGTCTAAGAGTCTTAGTCTAAGTCTTCACAAAAATATAATAATCATACATATATGGGAAATTTATCAGTGCAAAATGATTTCTTTCTTAAAACCTTTTATCCAGAAGGTCATGGATTACCCTCAGCTCCTAAGCTCAAAACAACAAAATTAAGAATTTTTCAATTTTTCTTTAACTTACTGTAATGTAAATTATTAAAGGTTTTTTTATATTATCCAAGTTATATATTTAAACAGATGACATAATATCTCAGGTGTATCTGCTGTGATGCTGCCTAGTGATGTATTTTATTTAGTTAGCTTCTAGTATTATTCCACTTAAAGATGACATTATAAACCATGTACTTGTGGTAAGTGATATAACTGATAATATGACTACTGCGACCTAGTTAAAAAATACTAAATAATTTGCTTATATGAACAAAAAAGATTGCCTTTTTAATATCTTCCTACCCAAACAAATTCACTTGCTGTTTGCAATTTAAAAGAGAATTTATAAAAGTTTCAGATTCTGATGTTAGAAAATTTTCTCTTTCCATCCTAAGGATGAAAGGGTCCTTTCTTTTTAAGGACACTAGAATGTCCTTAAAATGCCTTAGATTACATCGCTATGGTAAGCAAGGAAAAATATTACTGCAGAAAGCATATTTTCATCTGTCAGCAGTCTAAGATTTTGAAGATAATAGGTTATTCACAATCCTAACTTACAACAGTGGCCAGTGTAAAAAATAATAATAATAATAATTAAATCATGGTTAACTGATTTGGCATATCACTTGGTCACTCCCAAGGACTAGAAGTAAAATAAGAGTCCAGGAAGAGGAGCAGTGACAACTGCACTCATTCACGATAAAAGGACAATACTTTTGGTCCGGAATAAATTTATTAATTTATTTAGAAATATCTGTTGCTCCTGGAGTAATTAGGCATATCTAAATGAAAAGTCACACAAAATTGTGAAGATGAAGTTTCTGCAGCTTTAAGGGATGTGGAGATCAGGTAGAGGACTCAGGGGATTTGGAGAAAAGAAACAGGAGATGTTGAAAGACTCCTTTTAGGAAGACAAAAACCTCAGTTCAGTGTATTAGTGCTTCCCAAGTTCTCTGTTGCTTAATTGCAGAGGAGTTGCCAGGTTTAACAGTTGTTTTTAACATGGGAGATATTCCCAACAGAAAAGTGAACTGAAAATATTTACTATCAGAGACGCATAACCCACTTGAGCCCGAAGAGCAAGTATGACTCTAAGCTAACAATAAAAATTGAATTCATTTTATACAACCACTCTGCTAGGCAAACAGAGAGTGGCTAGTCACATTTTTGTCCTGCTATCAGACCAAAAATAGCAAGAGAGTACATTAGATGTTTGAAAGGAAATATATTCCATGCCCACTTGCAAATGGGAGCATGAAAATCTCGTGTATCCTCACCAAAACAGCAAATTCAACCTTTACACAAAAGAGAAGGAGGCAAATAAGTAGGCCAAGCAGTGTTTCAACTGTGGAAAAAAAAAGGGGGGACATGGAGGGGAAAGAGGAAAAAATGCTGAAAACAGACAGGAAAAACTTCATTGCCACTGTTAGTTTTACCTTTCAAAGCACTCAAGCTGTGATTTGTGTTTCTCAGCTGGATTTCACTGCAATGTACCTAATTTATCTGCCTAATAATATCCCAGTAACTCAACCTTGAGATAACACATCTCTCATAACGGGGTGGGGGGGAATCCAAAAAGTCTAGCATCAGGTCTTATCTAACTGGTTAGCTCTGAATCACTCTGTAAAAGGGCTAATGTTTCCCAACAATAAATGTCAATGTTTCTAAGTCTTCTCATCATATTAAAAAACAAATAAATAAAAATCCATCATGTTTACAGCAATGTTCAAGCATAACATTCAAGCATATTTGAACATTAATTATTTGATGACAAGTCCAGGTTATGCATTCTGTTTTCAACCAACTTCAACATCCAGAAACACAAGTTCTTCAGACCTGGTGGGATGCAGGACCCACGAGCACTGAGGAAGCTGGCTAAATTTCTATTATCTTTAATAAATTAAAAAAAAAAACCCTTCACCCATGAAATGCCTGGCTTGATGGGCAAGAGAAAGAGCAGTGGATGTTGTTCATCTCTACTTCAGTGAGGCTTTTGACTCCTTACAGCAAGTCTGGGCAAGGTAAGTGGACAGCGAGGTAGAGTGAAAAGCGGTTGAACAGCCAGGCCCAGGGGGCTGATCAGAGGCACAAAGTCCAGCTGGAGGCCAGTCACTAGCAGTGTAGCCCTGGGTTTAATACCTTCATTAATGATCTGGTTGATGGGATAGAGTGTCCCCTCAGGAAGACTGCAGACTGCAGGAGTGGCAGATGCACCAAAAGGTTGTGCTGTTATTGAGGGACCTCCACAGGCTGGAGAAATGGACTGAGAGGAACTTCATGAAGTTCACCAAATGCAACCAGCTGACTGTGAGCCAGCAGTGCGCTCTCATGGCAAGGAAGAGCAGCGTCATTCTGGACTGTGTTGCCAGCAGACCTGGAAGGAGATCCCTCCCCTCTACTTAGCGCTGGTGACATCCTGTATGGGTTGCTAGCTCCAGTTCTGGGCTCTGCTTAGCTCTGATCTTCTTTGTATTTTGAAAGATCTCTGCTTATTTGCATCTACCTAAAATAATTCACAAAGTTCCCCTGTCAGTTGTGTGACACACAAAACTCTGCAACGTTATTACTATAAAAAAGTACTGCGCTGAAAATAAGGACATTTGGGATTAACATATTTGGTTATTACACTTTTAAGAATATTAAAGTATCTATTTCAATCTTAAACAGACCAGGAAATATTTCAAGCTGCTGACCATTACTCTTTAAGCCTAGCAGTTCCATCTTCTCGTTCCACCTTACAGTTCTTAATTCTCTTTATTTGCTGATCTTCTTTAGCTCCCGCAAGATCTTAATGCATAATATCTCACGTGCCCTGTACCCATTGACTATTGCATCTACCACCAATTCTTTCTCATTTGCAAGCTTTGGATTGAGCAGAATATCTCCGCTAGCCAGCCTAACAGGCACTTGCATCATTTCCTGGGATGTACTACAGAAACTTTTCAGATTGCTCAAGCCCAGTGTGTTGTCCTCCCAGCAGATATCAGTCCTCCACGAGAGCAGGTGCCTGCAGTAGAAAGACTTCTACTCGTTTAAGGAAGGCTTCACAGTGCACGTCCGCCACAACGTCCCTTTCACTGTGCATCTATTCAATCATGGTCCACGATCTCTCAACAAATTGGCCATCTGCTCTGTCATAGAGCCCCATGCCTTCAGGCTATCTTTGTGAGGAGCACAAATCCCTCCCTCTTTCTTAAAGACGACTCTCTCTTTCTTCAAGAGCCTGCAGCCATTACCTGCCCTGTTTTAGGCATGCAAGCTACCTCGCTGCCTCCCTGTGACTGCAGTGGCAGCATCGCTCCGCGACTGCACGCAGACTCCCTGTTGCTCCTCTTGGTTGCCCAGACTGTAGACATTCGCAAACACCTCCAAATGGACCCCCAGCCACCCCATTCCCCCTACGGGAGTATGACAGCATCCTCCATGTGCACATCACCCTTGTTATTTAGCTGTAGGATTTTGTACCTAACCCTCAGTAAAGTGCCCGACTAGCTTGCCAAGCCTCCTCCCCCACTTCATCAGGTGGCTTCCATCTCTCCCCACCAGCTCTCATTCCTTGAGGATGATCCTATGATCATAAAAGCCAAAGCACTGTCAGTGACTTTTAGCCTGATTCAAATTTTTCCTAAAAACCGAACGGACTCATCAGACTAACATTTATTTGCATCAAAATAAAAATGATGTTGAAACAATTGGAAGGAACATCTCCTCACTTGAGCTGTCTAGTACAGATAAAACTGAAAACACACATAAAACTGAACTACACTGAAGCGTGGAAAAGTCTGGCACTTGCACAACAACATGATGTGCTTTGTGCTTTTGATTAGTTAGTAAACATATTAAATAAAATATTTTTGTACCACTTAAATATGGCCATAAAATCAGGACATACAGTATGTTTTCTTCCACAGCTGTACACAGATATTAATTGCACTCAACTTATAACACACGGTTTTCATCTTTCTTGCATCCACCTGTCACCTGCTTTGGGAAATAATATTAGTAAAGACAATAAAAATTAGATATGATTATCATTTCATTTGCTTACCTACTACTTGACATCACCAAAATATACAATAGTCACTAAACAGAAACACATACTTGTAACTCTCAACCTGTCGACATGAAGACACTGTAATGAAAGAATCTGTCCGAGAACTGTACGTTAAAGGACCAGGTAGAAGAAAGCCAGGTAAAAATCGTCCAAAAGCATAGCTTTCCTGCTCAAATAGCATGAGCATCCCATCCATGGACTGTATACATATCAAATCTCGACCTGAAAACAAAGGAAACAAAGCAATGTTATATAGTATTAATCTTAAAGTTATTGTTAAAAATTAGATAGCACTCATAAGGAATACTTAGAAAAACAGATTTAATTCATGCAAGTGTTTACTATGGGAAAGAACCCAAAGCATTCCAATCTTCGCAAAAATCTTATTTATTAAAAAGAACAAACCTAGATAATTAGATTTTTTTTGTTAACATCCACAATATACTAATAGAAAAAGTGAGAATAATTAACTTCACACCAAAATTCCAGAAGACCTAAATCATTACAGTTTAAAGAAATGTTTGAATACTCCTGTAAAAGTAAAATTGTTCTGGTTCTTAAACATTTCTATATCTTAAAAGCTTAAAAGAACTTTAACTTAGAAATAAATAACTTATTCCACATTTTCTGGTTTAGCTAAACAGTATAATAAAAAATATCATAATATATACTATCCATAGTATTCATAATCATGTCACAATCATAATCAATGGTAAAATTTTCCATGCTTGGCATTCACATTTTGTATCGCTAAGTAATGATGAAAATAACAGGTATGACCAGTTTGTTACTAACTCTACTAAAAATGGAATTAAAAAAAATCACTTTGAAGTAAATGACTGCAAGTCCCTCAGAGCCCTGCAGCTCCACGATTCAACAGCTTCAAGACATGACTTGCCGTATCTCAGCTACACTAATCCAAATCAAAGTTTCCTTTTGAAATCTTCAGAGATCAGAAGCTGATTGTGAGTTCTACATTTCCTATACTATGGCAATAACTGAAATCTAAACAATTTTTGCGTATATTTATAAAAGGAAAGCTGCAACAATAAGATGCATACACTTTCCAAACTTGATGGAAATACATCTTCTAAATTCAGAGTAAAGCTTTATTTTGGAAACATAGCATAACAATCCTTGGAATTTAATAGAAGTCTAATCCTCTGCATTAAAGCACTACTGTGATTGTTCACAGTAATTATAAGCATCAAAAAAAATTAAATATATATATATATGCGTGTATATATATATATAATCATGATAGGTCACACAGCACATTGCATTATTTGTCCCTGTGTTTAAAACATAGGATAAAAATTTGACTTAGAGTAAAAGTGGAATTCTAACACAAGCAACAGATTTGTGTAAGGTAAAAGGAAGGCAAAGCATCAGAATCATTTCCCCTGGCACTTCCTCCCTGTTGAGATTTTTTCCATTTTCTAAATATTATCAAGTTCACCTGCTCTTCCTTCCAGACTCTAGATAGTCACTGCACGTCCTATAAACCCTGCTGCAAGTATCGGCTATTTAGTGAGGTAGCTATTTGAAAATGTAATTTACATTGTTCACTTGCCAGAGGCTAAATTCAATTTCCCAGTCTCTCTAGTAAAAAAAAATAAAATAAAATACTTTAGTTCTTTACGTCAATGATGATATAGATAGACCAGCAAAACAACAATGCAATTTTAGAAATGCTCTTGTGGGCATTTCCACCACAGTCACACCACCTGCCTCTTTCCTTACTTCTATACAGATCTTTCCTGAAAAACACTAAATTACATGTCATTTTTATTTGACAAAGTTTTGTTGTTTTGTGTCTTTAATCTGCTAAAGCACACATATTTCAAAGGATAATGTTACTAGCAGCTAATATCAAACACTTAAATCTTTAATAAACTAGAAATAGAACTTTCATTCAACAAATTCATAAATTATAGAAAAGAATTTCCTTCAACACAAGAAAAATAAAGTACTCCATTAATCAAGAATTCTTTGTGGCTTTGAATTTGAAAAAAAATACTGATAAATCTTTGAGTAAAAAACTTAGCTGAGAAAACCATGAAAACTAACCTTCGTAAGTCAAATCATACCAGAATCTGTACTGATCAACCAATGCTTTGTAGAAAAGCAATTCAACATGAAATCCGTCAGAGTACTGTTGAATAGCTCTCAGACTAAAATTTTGTCTGCTACTGAAGCCAGCAAATAGTGTATCTTTGCTATTCTTTTCTACTGCAAGTGAGAAAGTTTAAATACACCCCTTTTAACAGCAGCTCTTTAAGCTATTGGCAATTTGTCACCAGCAACTTCAATTTGACGATTAAGTCTCAAAATCTAATCTATAATGTTTTGAAGCTTGACGTTTCCAAATAGCAGTACTTTTAAAACGTTTCCTTTTCCACGTGCAGACTGAAGTCATACATCGTTCTAGGAAATGGAAACTCTTTACCTCTGTTAACAGCATAAAGTCAATGAACAAATGCTTCCTGCAGCTAAACCTAATAATTTTAAGAGAATTATGGCTTTGACATATAGATCCCCCAAAACGTTTTCTAAACAGACAGATTGTTTTAGAGTTATGATTTTCCTAGGGCTTTCTACACAGACTTTTTAAATTATAAAGTTGGGCCTATGGCTTCCGTTCAGTCTTAAGTTTTATTGTTTATAAGATTAGAAACATATTCTACATATACAAATACATCAGATAAGCACATATATACATAGACGCCTCATATGTGCATAACCAGTAAGTTTCCTCTCAAATTTGTATAAACCATCTTTATTAAAAAAAAAATGTTATTTAACCTTTTAAGTATTATTTACAAGGCATGAAGATCCAGCATTGTTTAATTTATTCATAACTTGGAGCTGACATTCTATAGCGAAAGTCTGTGTATTCAAGAGGCCAAAGCATCTACCGATCACAGTCCGGATGAACATTTGGTTTGCTGCTTATACTGGGCCTCTGAAGTTTTAGCCAAGAACTTTGCAATGATTTTACCAATATAAGATTCAGAAATTAGTCAGTGAAAATAATCTGTAGGTACCTTAGACATGTTTCGATTAAAATCATGGGACCTTAATATTAAATATTTGTCAATTTCACACATGCATCTTGCTTTATTTTTTAAATGTACTGTTTTTCATCATTTTAACATCTGACAAACTACTATTAGTGTGAATCAAAAAAGAAAAAATACACATGAAGCACACAAGGTCTCTGGCTAAATAAATAGGCTAAACCAACCTAAAGTTCTGCTAAGTCTGGAACGGTCACTCATACCTACTTCCAACTGGGCTCCAGCACTCATCAGGCAGAAGACACTAGGATGCCATCCAGAATTTTTTTGTTTGGTTGTTTTTTTTTTTGATGTTTTTTTTTTTGGTTTTGTTTTTGGTTTTGTTTTTTAATTTTCAACTGAGCAAGTCATTACACTACATAAATAACACCACCCAAGCTTAGCAGCTGAACTCTGTGGTAGATATCTGTCCCTCCAGTTGGCAAAATTTTACAAGACTCAGTCCTATCATGTATCTTCTGATCAGCAAACAACAGAAACCACTAGAGAAGAACTTGGGATGCTCTGCACTGGTACCCTATCAACAGGCTAATGATATCCAGCTGCTACTTCCAATAATTGCTGATCTTGCTAACACCCTGCTGATGGACTCTAGAAAAGAGTACGAAAGTTAGCTAAGGCTAATTGCATAAAACTAGCTGTCAACTAACAAGCAAAGGTTCACTGAGAAATTGTACAAACACTGAAAAGTTTAGTAAGCACTAGCCCACTGGCTGCCACACCAGTACTTTAGCTATAGCTGTCTTACAATATCGCTAATGGCTGCCAGAAATCACTGGTGGCATTTTATTATTTGGCATGCAAGCACCAAATGATCTACTTCATGATCCAGATGTACATGTGACTGTAGTTATTCTGTTATCTCAAAAATGTATTGGGAAATTTCTCCCTCCCAAACACCACTGGGGAATTGTGGATGTTCGAATTCCTCACAGGCGCCCCGACCCCCTGCCCCATCACTGTGCATTAACTGGCTGTTGAGCTCAACTTCCCTTTTACAACCTCTTTATAAAGGGTAGGATCCTCTAAGTCTTCAATTCTGTTCTATAGTTTCCTTTTAATTAACCTACCATGAGCATGTGATACTATACAGAAGAAATCTAAGGCAAAATCTGTCCTATTTCCATTGCCTTGACTCTCAATGCCTCCCTGCTACCTGAAATCTGAAGACATAAAAGGTATCCACTTCAAAACAGAAACCATATTTGTTTTTTAATACACATAACAGGATGCATCTGCATTTCTTCCTCGAGGACTTTCATTTTTCATCATTTTGACATTAGAAAGATATTGTCACAACCTCTCTCCAAAATGCAAAAATGTAATAATATTGTGTACAATTTTATTTTTCAAAAATCATGAAAAATAAAACCACATCCATCTCTGTTTTCATCATACTGCTATTCTAGTGTTTAAAAATATATAGAGAGATATTGCTTGATTTAAGATAAAAAATGTAAAAGACATTTAATCCTAAAGTGAATGCCTGTACAGAAATCTTGAATAATACATTTCTTAATACTTTGCATTCAATACCAAGTACTTCTGATTGTATGCACAGTAGTGTGAAAATGCTACCTTTTTGATAGATTCTGAGTATAACCTTTGGATTTAAACAGCTTGGCTAAAATACCCAATCTAATTGTTAATTTCTATTCTTCTGATGAAGCTTAAAAACCCGGTGCATTACAGCAGATAATATCATTGGTACACAACAGTGATAATTTAGTAGACAACCTACTACGATGTCAATAACAGTCAAAAAGTCCATTGGAGAAGTTGAGGTGTTACGTAAGGAACAGTAAAATGTTTTCCTCTCGCATATATCGTATACAATATATCAAACTTACAATTATCAATTTGGTTACAGCATGAAAATGATAGACAGTAGAAATAAAACGACAGCATCTTCTCACAAATATAAAAGTTATATGTCATATTAGACATAGAAATATTTACCCTTAGCATTAATAAATGAATTCTTAAGCAAATATATAATTATCATTGTTAAAAGATTGCCCATCTTAAGAGTAATGAAAGACTTTAAATGAAATAGAAGATGACAGGTTATTTAGAGTATTCCCATGACCCCCACAGTGCTACTGAAGCACTTGCTGAAGAAACCAGTATATTTCAAGCACTTGAGACCTGACATAACAAAAGTAAAGCGGCAATGACTTATTGCCGTTGATGGCACCATATCTTACTACTGCTAGCACATTGCTCATATTTTGTTGTTTTTACTCCTTTTACATTATTTTAAATGTGGATTTCAACTAGCTAGTATTAATGGATCAAACCTCAATTATCAAATCTATTACAAGTAAAATAATTAAAGAAAATTAAGTTATGTATAAACTTTTCCCCCAACTTTTTATGGGCCATCTTGTTTTCTTGCCCATTTGTTTTTAATGTGTAGCTCGTGAATGGGGTTTTTATGTTTCACTTTAAGAGATGCCGTCTTCCAAGAGCTCAGCCAGAAATGTCCATTTCAAAAAAGCTTATTGCAGCCAATTGGCTTTGCCAGTGACATATTTATAAAGTGAAAATGTAACCCATAGTGTTTTCTGCAAATCAGATGGAATCACTTAGTGTACTCTACATAGTTTCAGCAACTTGCCTCAAGAGGAATGTCCCTCAGCCAGC